CCTCGTAGGACATACCTCTTAGCTCTGGGACTAGTCTTGTTGCAAACCTTTGCACTTTCTCTACTTTCTTTACGTGCTTGGCTAGGTGTGGGTTCCAAACTGGTGCCGCATACTCCAATATGGGCCTAACGTACACGGTGTACAGGGTCCTGAACGATTCCTTATTAAGATGTCGGAATGCTGTTCTGAGGTTTGCTAGCGCCGGCGCACAGTTTTTGGTTGATGTGTGTGTTGTGTGTGTGTGTGTGTATGTTGTGAGTGTGTGTGTGTGTTGTGTGTGTGTGTGTGTGTTGTGTGTGTGTGTGTGTGTGTGTGTGTGTGTGTGCTCTCGCGCACGAGCGTGCGTACATCAGTGCGAGTCGAAGACAGCTATGGAAGGGGACAATCTTTGTTGGTCACTGACCTGGCCATTCTGTTGGTCCCTGACCTGGCCACACACTGCTGGTCTCTGACCTGGCCATACTTTGCTGGTCTCTGACCTGGCCACACACTACTGGCCTCAGACCTGGCCGCACTCTGTTGGTCTCTGACCTGGCCACACACTGTTGGTATCTGACCTGACCACACACTGCTGGTCTCTGATATGACTGCACTCTTTTGGTCTCTGACCTAGCCACACTTTGCTAGTCTCTGACCTAGCCACACTTTGCTAGTCTCTGACCTGGTCACACTCTACTGGCCTCTGACCTGGCCGCAATGTTTTTGACACACTGCCTGCCTGAAGACCTGTCTGCCTGCCGTCCTGCCTTCTTGAAGGTCTTCGTCTGTAGCTGCTCTCCTAGCCTTGCTCTACTTCCTTCTCTTTTTCTCCCCTCTCTCTTCTTTCTCTCTCTCTCTCTCTCTCTCTCTCTCTCTCTCTCTCTCTCTCTCTCTCTCTCTCTCTCTCTCTCTCTCTCTCTCTCTCTCTCTTGGTCTTCAAATATGGGCAGTGTTTGTCTTTTATGGTGTGGCCATTCATCACCATCACCACCATCACCACCACCACAACCACCATCACCACTCATCCAAAATATTGATCCATCTGTAGATATTAACCTCTGCCTATTCCCAGACAAAGATCTATCCCTCAGATCAAGACTTCTGTATATCCCCTAGACAAAGACCTATATCTATCCCCCACCTTTAGATAAAGACCTCTGTACGTTGAAAAAAAGACGATATAGAGCGTAGTTTTTGCGTCTACGAAGATCAAAGGGTGTGTGAAAGATACGCTTTGGCAGAGTTCTTTAGGGAGCAGCTGCACGCGGCGTACAAACCTTGTCTCAGGCGTAGATCCTGCGTAGTTCTTGTTATTTAGCATGTGTGTGTAGTGCTAGTAGTAGTAGTATCAGTCGTAGTAGTAGCAGTAGTAATAATAGCAGAAGTAATCTGCCTAAGGCTATTTGTCAATTATAATCTTAGAGTGTTGTGTGTGTGTGTGTGTGTGTGTGTGTGTGTGTGTGTGTTGTGGTGTGTGTGTGTGTGTGTGGTGGGTGTGGTGTTGTAGTGTGGTGTGTGTGTGTTGTGGTGGTGTGTGTGTGTGTGTGTAGGTGGGTCGGTGTGTGGGTGGGTAGGTAGGTAGGTAGGTGGGTGGGTGTGGGTGGTGTAGGTGTGGGTGGGTGGTAGGTAGGTGGGTGTGTGTGGGTGTGGTGGGTGGGTGGGTGGGTAGGTGGTGGGTGGTGTGTGTGGGGTGTGGGTGGTGTGTGTGTGTGTGGTGTGGTGGGTGGGTGTGGGTGTATCATGTGGGGTTCGAACACGTGGATAGGGTAAAGAAATACTCACGTAGGCTGGAAGTACGTATATTACGGATAATGTGGGAAGCGCCAAACAGCCGGCCTGCCTCCTTGCTCTCTCTCGTAAGACTAACTGACCCCAGTACCCATATGTGAGGGGGGTGTTTGAATACTGCTGTGGTCAGCAAAAATATGAATACAGACAGTGATTCACGCAGAGACGGTTGGTAGTGAGTCATCTACTGGTACACTGGTTACTGGTTACTGGTTACTGGAACTGGTACTACTACTGAGAGGTGGGTGGGTAGGTAGGTGGGTGGGTGTGGGTGGGTGGGTAGGTGGGTGGGTGGGTAGGTAGTGGGTGGGTGTGTGTGTGGTGGGTGTGTGGGTAGAGATGGTGGGTAGTAGGTGGGTGGGTGTGTGTGGGTGGGTGTGGGTGGGTGTGTGGTCTAAGGGTGAGGGGCCATGACGTCAGGACCACTACCATAGCTCCAAGCCACCGTCGTGACAGACCACTGCTATGGCACCATCTCATTTACCATGTCGTATTTCTTCTGCCATGGCACCATCTTATCTACCATGGCACCATCTTATCTACCATGGCACCATCTTATCTACCATGGCACCATCTTATCTACCATGGCACCATCTTATATACCATGGCACCATTTTATCTACCATGGCATCATTACAGTTTGAACAGGAATTCCCTTTTCGTAGCTTCGCGTTGAGGGAGGTGAGGTGAGGGAGTGAGGGGAAGTGGAGGGTGAGGGGAAGTGGAGGGTGAGGGGAGGGAGTGACGGGAAGTGGAGGGTGAGGGGAGGGAGTGAGGGGAAGTGGAGGGTGAGGGGAGGGAGTGACGGGAAGTGGAGGGTGAGGGGAGGGAGTGACGGGAAGTGGGAGGGTGAGGGAGGGAGTGAGGGGAAGTGGAGGGGATGGGAGGGAGTGACGGGAAGTGAGGGTGAGGGAGGTCGAGGGAATGGGGGTGAGGGAGGGAGTGCGGGAAGTGGAGGGTGGGGAGGGACTGAGGGCAAGTCATGTTGACACATAATGAGACTCCCTCCACACTCTGTTCCCAGTGCTACCCTTTCTCCCTTACCTTTGTCCCTCACCAATCCCTTACTCCTCCCCCCCTCTCAGTCCCCTTGCTCCTCTATCCCTCTCATTCTGTTCCCTTTACAGGTCTGTCTCGCCATTAGCGGACGTTTCGAGCCTTCACTACTCAATGCGTTGAACTCACACGGGTTTAACTCTTCTTCGTATTAAATATGTGTTTCTTCCCTTCCCCTCATTGCCCCTCACGACTCCGTTTTAGGTATCCCCCAAACAGTTAATGGTTAAGGTATCCCCCTAAAACGTTTAATGGTTAAGGTATCCCCCTAAAACGTTTAATGGTTAAGGTATCCCCCTAAACGTTTAATGGTTAAGGTATCCCCCTAAAACGTTTAATGGTTAAGGTATCCCCCTAAAACTTTTAATGGTTAAGGTATCCCCCTAAAACGTTTAATGGTTAAGGTATCCCCATAAAACGTTTAATGGTTAAGATATCCCCCTAAAACGTTTAATGGTTAAGGTATCCCCCTAAAACGTTTAATGGTTAAGGTGTCCCCCTAAAACGTTTAATGGTTAAGGTATCCCCCTAAAACGTTTAATGGTTAAGGTATCCCCCTAAAACGTTTAATTGTTAAGGTATCCCCCTAAAACGTTTAATGGTTAAGGTATCCCCCTAAAACGTTTAATGGTTAAGGTATCCCCCTAAAACGTTTAATGGTTAAGGTATCCCCCTAAAACGTTTAATGGTTAAGGTATCCCCTAAAACGTTTAATGGTTAAGGTATCTCCCTAAAACGTTTAATGGTTAAGGTATCCCCCGTAGACCGAGTCATGATTGTTTTTTCCTCAAGCGTTTAGCTTACACCTTGTGAACGTCTCATCCTATCGGCTTCGAACTCCCACCGTTGGTCTACTGTAACCAGGGAAAGATTCTTGCAGCTTACGGCATGTGGAGAGCGAAACGTTGCCACAATAAAATGTCGCATTAGTTGCACTTGTGTCCTTTTACCTAACATATTGTGGGTAATTCTACCAACATTATTACAATGTGTAAACGTCCTGTGGTTAATTCCCGGTTTTGGTTTCCAGGTAATATCTTGCAAAAGCTTCTGCCGATTAGCTTTAAGCTTTTCAACACTGGGTTATCCTACTTGGTAGAGAGTTGGGATTGTTATTGGGGCGTTTAAGGGATACCTTTTCAATTTTATTAAAAAAAAATAATAGTGGGATGTTGTTTTCAATGATTTAAATTCACATGTATACATGTTCACATGTATACACACACACACCACACACACACCACACACACACACACACACACACACACACACACACACACACACACACACACATCATCCACAATACGTTCACACATACTGATTGGAAAGGACACCCTACCTGTTCCTTTTGGATGGGACAGAAGAGAGGGGCAAGGGTTACGACACACATGGAGTCAAGGATCGATACCAGCTGTATTATATTTAATGAAGCGCTAAATGCGTATGAGTTTCTAGTGATAAAGCGTATTCTCGGGGTTCGATCTATACACCTTAGCCTGGTCATGGTGATCTAGGCAGCGGGGGCGTGACCCCGTCTAGTAGCAACAGGTAGAGGTCGGGGCATGGGTGCTGACAGTCAACTGTCTGGCACGCTTTAGGTGGCAATAGGGAACACGACCAGGATCATATATTCTCTGTCTCTTTCATTTTCTGTATTGGATTCTGAACCCCACACTGTCTGAAACGTTGCAAGGTGTGGCTGGTTTTACTCATCTACTCTTATGTACAGGATGTACCCTCAGTGTATTGATAAGGAATGCTATGCGTTGAGTTTAAGTTGTCGAATTTCGTCTCTGTCTACGACTTTTGCCTGGCTAGATCGGCCAGTATGGAGGCGTGCCCCCGCTTCCTTGCACAGATCCTGGTGAGCGTCGTCGTGTGGCTGAGTCAGAGGTTGTTGTCGCCTTTAGTTTACCTACAAACCTGACATGCGCTTACATTCTACCGTGCATTCTTACAGTCTCTTAGTCGATACTGAAGCACTAGTGGGCGCAAACGTCCTCCACAGTGGCCATTATGTTTTACTGTCACTCTGTAAGGAGTCCCAAAAGTCTGGACACAGGAATTATTACTGATATTCTGTTGAGTATGAGTCTGTCGAAATTTCGCCCACGTGTCTAGACTTTTGGTATAGCAATAATACTGTAAGTAATGAGAGGTGTCTGGTTGTTGCACAGATCCTGGTGGCGTCGTCAGAGGAGGCTGCGGAGTACGAGGAGGTAGTAGTGGATCCTGACTACCCTATCCTGCCTGACATGCGCTTCAGCAGCGACCGTCGCTTTCTCTACGTCATCTCCACCAGCAAGGTAAGCACTATCGCCATCACTACTATCCCCATCACCACCATTTTTTTTGTCATCTGTAGCAGGAAGGTAAGTACCTCTACAACCAGGAGGGCCTCCAGAGATTTAAGTGATCACAGTTACTGCTGTGAGTTTGTTGTTGTATGTTATTACATTACGTATATGATAAACTGTTGCCTGTTCTGATTAATATTTATTCCTCTAGAAAATATGACTGGGGGCCTCACAGTACCTGTAACTCATGGGCCTACAAAATCTTAATCCGGCTGTGTCTACCATTACCACTTCCAACAGTAACATTACCTACCGAGCAGTTGACACCAGCAACCAGCCGTCACTTTCCTCCCAGCACTCGACGCCCATGTCTCTCTCTTCCAGGATACTGATAATTACCTCAATTAAAAACTTATTTTGCATCAATCTGAGAGAAAGTAAAAGTTTTGTAGAGATAAACCTGTAGTTAAACCTGTGTATGTGTGTGTGTGTGTGTAGATCATGTTTTAACGGTTTAATTCATGCAGATTATTTGCTCAAACTTGCTACCGTTGCTTATTAGCCTTTTTTCTGGTATCAGATTACCCTTGTCGTTATATATGATTGGCTCACGCCTTCCCTTGTTTTGTAACTGGGAGTTGTGGACTGTGTCAGAGTGATTCGCGTGTCTGGAGGCGTGGTTATAGCCAGGCAGTAATGCCGTAATTCATTTGAGGTTGACAACCATAGTCCTGGAAGCGGAGACGTGGCTATTGTGACGTTGTCGAGGGTAGTTACTGTGTACTCAGCAAGCTGTGCTTGGCTGAGTGGGTCGGCCTCCAGGGAGGGAGACAACTAGGTGAGGTGTAGGTTGACCTCCAAGGAGGGAGGGGAGACTCGGATAGGTGAGGTGTAAGTTGACCTCCAGGGAGGGAGACTTGGCTAGGTGAGGTGTAAGTCGACCTCCAGGGAGGGAGGGAAGACTTGGCTAGGTGAGGTATAAGTCGACCTCCAGGGAGGGAGGGTGGGGAGACTCGGCTAGGTGAGGTTTAAGTTGACCTCCAGGGAGGGAGGGTGGGGAGACTCGGCTAGGTGAGGTTTAAGTTGACCTCCAGGGAGGGAGGGTGGGGAGACTCGGCTAGGCGAGGTGTAAGTTGACTTCCAGGGAGGGAGGGGAGACTCGGCTAGGTAAGGTGTAAGTTGACCTCCAAGGAGGGAGGGGAGACTCGGCTAGGTAAGGTGTAAGTTGACCTCCAGGGAGGGAGGGGAGACTCGGCTAGGTAAGGTGTAAGTTGGCCTCCAGGGAGGGAGGGGAGACTCGGCTAGGTAAGGTGTAAGTTGACCTCCAGGGAGAGAGGGGAGACTCGGCTAGGTAAGGTGTAAGTTGACCTCCAAGGGGGGAGGGGAGACTCGGCTAGGTGAGGTGTAAGTGACCCCCAAAGGGGGGGAGGGAGACTCGGCTAGGTAAGGTGTAAGTTGACCTCCAAGGGGGGAGGGGAGACTCGGCTAGGTAAGGTGTAAGACTACGAGAAAGTAGTAATAACTGTGTGACTGTAGTAAGTGTTCCTACATGTATACAATCACTTGTACGTCTTGTGACCAGCGTTGCGCGTGCGCACACACACACACACACACACACACACACACACACACACACACACACACACACACACACACACACACATAGTGTTGTATTCTACCCTTCTTTTCACAAACATTTTTGCCCACATCACTGGACTCATGTGTCGCAAACTCCAACAAAACACCGCAGTCCTCTCTCTCTCTTGTTAATACGTGCTCTTACCTACATTTCTACATTATTTGAAACACTTGAAGGAACGGGACACAACTTAATCCACTTAGGATAATGAAAATGAACACACGAATGCATTCACTTATGACACCTCTAATGAAACCGTTGCAGCTCTTAGACTTCGATGACGGTCCAAGGATTGGAAGGAGTTCGATAAAGGCAGCCGAAATGAGTGCTCTCGTGTCCATTTTCTTCAGGCTGTCGGGAGTCATTTTCCGTTTTATTTAACTTAGTACACTTAACAGCGTAATGCAGTATATGCAACACTAATTCCACGAAGAAGAATACGGAGTCACACAGTACTGTGACCTGGAACCATTCACATATAATCCACACTAAGGAGACCGAAACTTACGACGATGTTTCGCTAAGGTTTGGATTTGTGAATGGTCCAAGTCGGATTGAAACGTCGGATTATTTGTGTATTAATGCCACCATTATTTGCGAAGACTAAGTACATTGTTGCAATTAAAATACGTGTTGCAGAATTATGCTGAATTTGCTGGAATCTGAGAAATGACCAGTTTTAAAGTACGCTCCATCTCAGTGTTGTAGAATGAGTATATATATACACCAGTGTGTATATATGCAGAGTTTGTTGTTCTCTATTTTATAGATTAAAAGTATCCTTGACTGGTGGTGTACAGGTGACACGCAGCCTTAATGACCCTCACTGACTTAGACTCTCTTCAGCTCCTCTTCTCCACCCCCCTCTTCCCCCTCACTTTTTTTCCATGGGTGAGGCAAATGTTCTGGTAGTGAAGAAGTCTGTCACCTCCCCCTCCCTTCCCTGTCTTTCTCATCCCTCTGTTGTCCCCTTGTTCATGTCTTTTATTGCCTCCTTCCAAGCCCCCTTCCACTTTTTCTGTTTGCATATTTCTCCCTTCCTCCCCTCCCTCCTTCCCCCTCTCTCGTTGGATATATTTCCTTACACCTGCCGCCCTTATTCACCCAGCACGTACGTACATACCTGCGTATTTGGCGACTGGTGTGGGTCGCATCCTGGAGAAGAGGATTACAGGACCCCAGTGGAAATAAGACAGTGTGATAATATCTTAACATCATTAAGTTAACCAGGTTTAGTGACCTTCTGAGTTAATAAACGGAACAAAATCATTCTCTCTCTCTCTCTCTCTCTCTCTCTCTCTCTCTCATCTGTGCTGATGGGTACATAGAGTACAAAGTCTTTTCAACATTCCTGGTACACAGACACACGTTACTAAAGCCTGTGAGTGTCTATAGGGACAGACGCTGAGGCTTCTGTGTTGTGTGGCCTTCCTTGAGTGGGTTGTACCCGCTTTTGTGTTGTGTGGCCTTCCTTGAGTGGGCTGTACCCGCTCCTGTGTTGTGTAGGCTGTACCCGCTCAAAGATAATCTCTGATCTTCCCTAGAGCTCTGTGGAGGGACTCCCAGTTCTGTTATTATACCTTAGTCTCACCGTTGTTAAACTTTTCCCACACCCATTGTTACTCCTACCTTCCTTCCGTCCTGCTTGTCAGTTGCCATCCTGATTTGTTTCCCTGTTCTCTTGTTTGTGTTTCAATCACCTTTTTTGTTTGACTTAGGAAGGTCTTTCGTGTATATTGTATGGTTCTGTAAGGTGCTGGGATGGGTTTTGTGCCACCGTCTTCTAATTTTGTCTTCCTCAACCCCTCTCTAACCTGCAAACGGTCTATGTTTGCTTGTAACAGACGAAATGTAAATGCCTTGGATCAACGTCTAGCGTGAGCTGGGCGCCAAGGTATTGTCCAGCGTGGTGAGGATGGTAAAGCACTGCGTACTTTGTTCCAAGGTTCGTAGGTTCGAGTCTTCTTTGGCCAGAGATCAGTGTTTGTGTATATTTCGCCTGCTCTTGCGAATTCCTTGTACATTATATATATATATATATATATATATATATATATATATATATATATATATATATATATATCTTTCAACACACCGGTCGTATCCCACCGAGGCGGTCTTTACCCCAAAAGAAAAACGAAGTTTCTCCTTTTTACATTTAGTAGTATATACAGGAGAACGGGTTTACTATATACTTATAATAATTATATTATTATATATATAGTATATGAAATATATATATATTTATATAAATCTAAAGTGAACCCCCCGCTGTTAACGATATTTTTTCACTCCGAAGTATGTTCAGTGCCAGTACTGACCGAATTTGTTCCCTAAGATATTGTGACGTTAATTAGTCCATTTCACGACCCCCCACACATACACGTACAAACGCACCTTACATAAATACACTTACTATAATTGGTCGCTTTCGGAATGTGAATCGTTTATGCGGGGTCCACTGTAAATTATATATCATTATAGTATATTATTATATATATATATATATATATGATATTATGTTATATATATTATATTTGATTTATATATGCCAATAATAATCCACTGTGAAAGAATATAGAAATTCCAAGCGCTTTTTTTCTCCCTTCCTTTCCTCTCCCCTTTCTCCTTTCTTGCATCCTTTCGCAAGAGTACAGTAAAGCGCCTCAGTTACTGGTAACGTTTGAAGTCCCTTGACATGTACTCTCTCTAACGCAGGCGAGAACGATACATTATAATTTACGCCTGGAAAAATCCTAAAGGGGCTACCTTCTTCCATCCCTGATATCCTATCTTTTCTTCTCTCATTCCCTCCTTATCTATCTCCGCTTCTCCATTTGCTTGTATTGTTCCCTTTTATTCCTTTCATTTTTTCTCCTCTCCATCCTACCTTCTCTCCCTCCCTCCCTCCCTCCCTCCCTCCCTCCCTCCCTCCCTCCCCACACAACTTCCCGTATGCGTACACACCTTTTTAGATAAAATATTGGAAATGTCTTTCATCTCTCCAGCTACAAGGTCCCAAAATTTATTCCCTCGTGTCCGTGGTCTTTATTCCTCGTGTCCGTGGTCTTTATTCCTCGTGTCCGTGGTCTTTATTCCTCGTGTCCGTGGTTTTTATTCCCTCGTGTCCGTGGTCTTTATTCCCTCATGTTTGTGGACATTTATTCTTTATTTTTGTTCGTTCTGTGAGAAGAAAAAGGCTATTTGTGCCCCTTTTTTCTCTTTTATATTTGACAGCGACGCAGAATGGATGGTAGTGCTAGAGAGAGAGAGAGAGAGAGAGAGAGAGAGAGAGAGAGAGAGAGAGAGAGAGAGAGAGAGAGAGAGAGAGAGAGAGAGAGAGAATTGTGGTTGATCAAGTTACTGTTTT